AATAATAGCAAATTGTTTATTTGACATCTATAAATATAAACGGGTATTCATGTTAGTACTACACATTTTAAAGCGTATGACCTCGCTTCAATTTCCGATGGATTCGAACCATTTAGCAATATTTATCACAGAGAATAGCATTTTTTAGTATTTAGTATTCCGTACGAAGAAGATGCATTGTGTTTGGTGTTGAAATAATCTAACATGTCAAAAAATACTCAAATGCAACGTGAAGGTAGGCAAATCGAAACAAATTGATCCGAACGTGTTATATATTGAAAACTGAGAAATACACAGAGCATATCACAAATGTTCGCAATTTCCAACGCTATGGTGCGACATATAGATTAAACAGATGCTATGTTGTGAGTGTCAAGATATCAATACCAAGTCAAAAATATGGCATTCCAATAATATTGATGAACATTGCCCAAAATATATCTCAAAAACCCGCATATCCATATGGCTAGTTATTAAGCGTGACATATAATTGAAAATTTTTTGAGAAGGAGGTGTGGTATATGATAGTAAAATAGAATATGAAAGTGCTAATGATATTGAAAATCAATAAAAAAAGAAATCTACGCAGAATGTAACCGCAGAATGAAATCCGGAAATGCCAACAATATTGAAAAAATATCACACGAACTTTATCTCAAATGTCCACCTATCCGGCCTTTCAAGTTATACAACTAATTGTGAAAGGGAATTCTGGTATGTCATTAATGAAGACAAACATCACACAAATTGGATGTCAAATGTTCATCTATCCGGTCACTCAAATGTGGCATGTAATTGAAAAATGAACACCAGCCCTATTTATAAACATTACACAAAATATACCTCAAATGTCCACTTATCCGACCACCTAAGTGTGGCATACAACAATAGAAAGAAGATTATTAAATCATATTGAGAAACCTTTTACGAATTATATCTCAAATCCACCTATCCGACCACCTAAGTGTGGAACACAACAATTAAAATGAAAACCCGAAATCATATTGAGAAACATTGTACAAAAAATATTCCAAATGTCCACCTATCCAACTATTTAGGTGTGGCATACAACAATTTAAATAAAAATTCTGAAATCATATTGAGAAACATTAAAAATGTATATCTCAAATGTTCACCTATCCGGCCACCTAAGTGTGGCATACAAGAATTGAAATGAAAATTCTGAAATCATATTGGGAATCATTACACAATGTATATCTCAAATGTCACCTATCTGACCACCTAAGTGTGGTATAAAACAATCAAATTAAAATTCTGAAATCATATTGAGAAACATTACAAAATATATCTCAAATGTCCACCTATCCGGCCACCTAACTGTGGCATACAAGAATTGAAAGAAAATTCTGAAATCATATTGAGAAACATTACACAAATGTATATCTCAAATGTCACCTATCGGCCACCTAAGTGTGGCATACAAGAATTGAAATGAAAATTCTGAAATCATATTGAGAAATTACACAATGTATATCTCAAATGTCCACCTATCGACCACCTAAGTGGGCATACAAGAATTGAAATGAAAATTCTGAAATCATATTGAGAAACATTACACAAATGTATCTCAAATGTCCACCTATCCGCCACCTAAGTGTGGAACAAACAATTAAATGAAAACTGAATCATATTGAGAAACATTACACAAAATATTCAAATGTCCACCTATCCGACCTAAGTGGGCATACAAAATTTAAATAAAAATTCTGAAATCATATTGAGAAACATTACACAAAGTATATCTCAAATGTACCTATCGGCCACCTAAGTGTGGCATACAAGAATTGAAATGAAAATTCTGAAATCATATTGAGAAACATTACACAATTATATCTCAAATGTCACCTATCCGACCACCTAAGTGGGTATAAAAATCAAATGAAAATTCTGAAATCATATTGAGAAACATTACACAAAATATCTCAAATGTCCACCTATCCGGCCACCTAACTGTGGCATACAAGAATTGAAATGAAAATTCTGAAATCATATTGAGAAACATTACACAATGTATATCTCAAATGTCACCTATTCCGGCCACCTAAGTGGGCATACAAGAATTGAAATGAAAATTCTGAAATCATATTGAGAAACATTACACAATGTATATCTCAAATGTCCACCTATCCGACCACCTAAGTGTGGATAAAAATCAAATGAAAATTCTGAAATCATATTGAGAAACATCACAAATATATCTCAAATGCCACCTATCCGGCCACCTAAGTGGCATTCACGAATTGAAATGAAAATTCTGAAATCATTTGAGAAACATTACACAAATGTATATCTCAAATGTCACCTATTGGCCACCTAAGTGTGGCATACAAGAATTGAAATGAAAATTCTGAAATCATATTGAGAAACATTACACAAATTATATCTCAAATGTCCACCTATCGGCCACCTAAGTGGCATACAAGAATTGAAATGAAAATTCTGAAATCATATTGAGAAACATTACACAAATATATCTCAAATGTCCACCTATCGGCCACCTAAGTGGCATACAAGAATTGAAATGAAAATTCTGAAATCATATTGAGAAACATTACACAAATTATATCTCAAATGTCACCTATCGGCCACCTAAGTGGGCATACAAGAATTGAAATGAAAATTCTGAAATCATATTGAGAAACATTACACAAATATATCTCAAATGTCCACCTATCGGCCACCTAAGTGGGCATACAAGAATTGAAATGAAAATTCTGAAATCATATTGAGAAACATTACACAAATATATCTCAAATGTCCACCTATCCGGCCACCTAAGTGTGGCATACAAGAATTGAAATGAAAATTCTGAAATCATATTGAGAAACATTACACAAATATATCTCAAATGTCCACCTATCGGCCACCTAAGTGGGCATACAAGAATTGAAATGAAAATTCTGAAATCATATTGAGAAATTACACAATTATATCTCAAATGTCCACCTATCCGACCACCTAAGTGGGTATAAAACAATCAAATTAAAATCTAAAATCATATTGAGAAACATTACACAAATTATATCTCAAATGTCCACCTATCCGGCCACCTAAGTGGCATACAAGAATCGAATGAAAATTCTGAAATCATATTGAGAAACATTACACAATATATCTCAAATGTCCACTATCCGACCACTAAGTGTGCATATAAAATCAAAATGAAAATTCTGAAATCATATTGAGAAACATTACACAAATATATCTCAAATGTCCTCCTATCCGGCCACCTAACTGGGCATACAAGAATTGAAATGAAAATTCTGAAATCATATTGGAAACATTACACAAATATATCTCAAATGTCACCTATCGACCACCTAAGTGTGGTATAAAAAAAAATGAAAATTCTGAAATCATATTGAGAAACATTACACAAATATATCTCAAATGTCCACCTATCGACCACCTAAGTGTGGCATACAAGAATTGAAATGAAAATTCTGAAATCATATTGAGAATCATTACACATAATATATATCTTAAATGCCCCCCTATCCGGCCATACAAATATGGCAAACAAAAATTTTTTAAATAAAATTCTGAAATTATATCGAGATACATTACACAAAGTATATCTCAAATGTCCACATATTCGGCCCCCTAAGTGTGGCATACAAGTATTGAAGCAAAATTCTGAAACTATATTGATAAATCTTACACAAAATATATCTTAAATGTCAACTTATTCGACCACTCAAGTGTGTGAAATATAATTAAAATACGAAATTTCGAAATGCTAATAATAGTTTGATGTTGTGGAAAATTGCTCTAAATTTGTCTCAAATGTCCACCCATCCGATGACTCGAGAGTGACAAATATTATAAAACAAACTTTTGAAACCATATTGAGAAACAATACAGAAAATATATCGCAAATTGTCATCTAATCAGCTACGTAAGTGTGTCATGTAAATGTAAAATAAAATTTTGGAATGGCAATAAGAAGCATTCAAAAAAAAAAAAAAAATTAACCATCCGACCATTTCAGAAGATATGTAATTAAAACACGAAATTCTGAAAAAATATCGAGAAACATTACACACAACATATCCCAAATGTTCAATTAAGAGACGATTTCATTGAGGCCTATAAATGGGAAACGAAGTTTTGTCATGTCAAATAAAATGAGAAACATACACCAATTATAACTCAAATGTCATCAACATGGAATTATTGTACCCCCGTATCAATTTAGAATCTTTGCTCAATTTATATAAAATATTTGCACCAACTCAGAATACAAAAACATGCTTGTTATTTTGAATTTATAATTAAATAGTAAAAATGTAGGCCAAGTATGTATACGAATGTGAATATGTTCACTAGAACAAGTTGTTAGGGAGAGACAAAATTATGCTTACTGCGGTTCATCTCTATGAATTATACGGTTCCCGTACATTTGAACCCACGTACATTTGAACCCACGACAATTGCACCTGCATACTATTGCACCTATTGAAATTATTTTGTTTTGCAGATATTTTAATCCATACTAACCCTGGCCTAACCCATGGGTTTTAGCACCCGCATATAGATTGAACCCGCGGATATACACATGGGTTCAAATGTACGTGGGTTCAAATGTACAGTCACCGAATTATACAGAGATGTCTTAAAGCTTCACAATAAACTTCTCGCAAGATATACAAGGCCGTGCAATTATTACTTATCGATTTTAATCGGTAAGTATGTTGATAGGTATGTGTCTGTCTGTATGTCTGTTTGTTTGTCTGTTAGATGCACGCGATATCTCACGAAAGCAAGATTGAATCTGCTCCAGATTTTGTATGTGCATTCATCTTCTCTTGGACCAGAAGCATATTGATTTTGGGCAAATTATGTCGTATAATTGGCGAGTTATTATTTAATTAGTGATGTGACACAAGGTGTCATTATGGAGTAAGAGCGCTGTTTTGGGGATCCTCTAACTTTCGATCGATAAGTCCTCGGTCTCTGACCAATATTCTCGTTTTTCTATTTGTCGTTTCTTTTCTGATTTGCGTTTATTTAGAAGCTTTTTTTGTAATTGATTTACAGCCTTTTTTCTTTTCCATATATATGGTTTTCTTTGAAATCACTCACGATTCTTATTGAAAGTAATTCTGAAGATGGTGCGGTATAGTCTGTTGATTCATCTGAAAATTTGGTCAAAAATACATGCATAAGTCACAAACATCATCACTACAATTATTCGTAGATAACTGCGCTATTTGTGATAGGCTACAAGTGATATTATGATTGATTTATTATCATTCATTGGTATCAATTTGAGATGTTTATTAAAAACAAGCATTGCAACCTGGCACAGTTTTCTCCGAATCATTACCCGCATTTCCGTCTGCCAAGTTCTGAAACGTAGACCATCTCGTTGAAGAGTCACCTACATGTGAACAAATAATACAGCCCAGTAAATAACTAGATAAGGATTGTAAAATAACACAGGGATATGTGCCAAATCACAGAACCAAATTGCTAGCAATGCAATTCTTCAAAACTGTTTTCCGAAGATAAAATATTCTAATATGAAGCGGTGTATCAGATATTTTCATTTATACCAAGCTATACGAACCTATACTGAGTGGAGTCAACCACTCGCTTCTCGTATCTCCTTCTGTTTCGAGAAAAAATTGAATTCATTGAATTTTCACAATCTTCGTTTGTATATTGTCATCTGGATTTAGAAATCTTTCTGAATTACACACTCACAAACGCAAACCCAGTCGTAGCATTATTTTGATGGTCAGATCAGAACTACGACCAGTAAAAGCATAACAGTAATAGTAATCTATATTTTGATAATCTGGATTACGTAAAAAATCTCAACACCAAAAATAGTAGCCCTAATATTAAAAATCGTTATGACTAATCATCTTATCCGATGAGTGATGATTTCCAGCAACATTCCTCGGTGACGTTGAAAACCTTGTTTCAAGTTATTATGACTCGACTTTGAATTACTGGGTAATTGACTCTTAACACAAAAGGCTTGAATCGCTTATCCAAACATAACTGTTCCTTTTTACCTAAATTGCTGCAATCACGCACTCATGAAGATTCCAATCCCTTCATGGCGTCCAGGTTACTTGCGAACAAAACGGCAAACGTGGTAAAGGCAAACGTGGCAAACGTGGTTCTCGGCGAACCCGACAGTTTTACTATTGTGACACAATGCCTCTTTACTACGGAGTTGTGAATTGAGGTCCTTTATAATATGCAGATATTTCAAAAATATTGAAAGAAAATTTTTTGATACTGTGTTACCGAAGAAAAAGAGACTTCAGCAAAAAATCGCAAAACGTTTTAATTATGGAACGTGGAATAACAAAGCGGACAGGAAAATGTCTACCCAATTTTTCCGTCTACATAACTGTCGCTTTTTTAGCACGGTAAGTTTACTTAACTACCGTTTTATATATGTATATATAGCGAACTTTGCGGTGTCGTAGTACTTCAACATAGCAGTTTATACATATATGTGACGGACTTGTCACAAAACGTTACATTGTTTGCAATTCAAGTTTCAACCTCAAGAATCGATTCCAATGTATCGGAATCGATTATAGTCGATTCCGCGAAGAACCCATTCTGTAATCGAATCCGGACTCGATTTCGCCATCCCTACTTGTAGCGTGAGCAGGTCTGGTGCTACCGTCAAAGAACAACCAAGTTCGTCTAAATTAGGATTCCGGACCCAGATAAAAAAATATACAAATTGGATCGCGTGGCGCTTCGTCAGATCTGCGGTTCGTCACTGTTGTCACATGGCCAACTCTTGAAAATAGAGGAGAGTTTGTACTAAAATAAAGGCACGAAACGTCTCTTCAAATGAGGAGTTACTTGTCGTAAGCTTATCTCATCGACTTGGTCCGAGGCGCAGTTCTTACCACTTCATGGCAGCTCCTGCCACGTCTTGGACACGGTGTGGGCCACCTTGAATTAAATAAAATGATAATGTAATTCTAAATTACAAGAAAACTATATACAACTTAGTAAAGTTGGTAGTGACAACAAATAAGTTGAGATGATGATTGATATTTTACATTTGTTGCTCTGGTAAATAAACGCAAAAACTTCTTCGGAATTCCAGTCACATTCAGTCAACCACATGGTATTTATAAAATAGCCTTCATTCTACGGCATCCATAAAATCGGTTCCGTACAGGCAAATTTATATTTTCAACATTAACTAATAACAATAATTTAGATAGAATGATTCAAATTACTGAGTAAATCAAATACAGCCACGGGCAATGCTAAAGTATATGTTGATATATTTAGGGAAGTTATCGGTTTTGAAACTATTTGGCCATAACGGAAAATAAGTTTCATTTTGACAGCATTCATATATAATAGGAAAAGTATCAATCAGTTCAATTTAGTTTCTATGTTGCCAAGTCCTGCAAAATATATGATACTTTTATACTGAAATTATTTTTCTCAAATAGATTGAATTTTTGTAGACATTGTTCATCGAATCAATAAACTTGAGGTATAAGTAATTACATGAATCGACTTGTCCTCAGAACTGAGGTTTAGAGCGCAATAATGCTATTTATCGCAAAATCGAAGAGGTCGTAATTTTGGTGTTGATAACCTCCGCCAATTTGGAGAATTAATTTTGAAAAATACTTCATGCACCTCAAATTTCTCTGAAAACATTTTTAATCAGTAATCATGCGGCACCTTTAATATTCACTTATAACAAATATTATCAGGTTTATTAGTCTTAAGTATTTTAACAAGAATTGATATGTCAGAACTTTGTACTGTTTATTCCGAGATTAAAATGATTATGTTGCGTAGTTATTCTTTAAATAATACGATGTACAATAATCACATGATGTACATTACAGAATGGAATATAAAAAGAATAATGATTGTCTGGATACTTTATGCTAAAAACTAAACTGCCTTCCATAAGGAAATGAAAAAAGTTTATCAACGAATTTGTTAAAATCTGCGCATAACGCGTGAGCCTCTGAAGCCACGAAACGTAGAACAATATGTAGGTGAAAAAATTAGAAAATGTGGGGCAATATATGATCTACTCCCACAAAAAATCTGGCATTTCAGTGAATTTGGGCACTGATACGAAATGATGTTTGGAGAAAAGTTCGAATAACATTCGGCTATAGTAAATTTTTTACATCTTTAAAAATAGTTTCTCTGAAAACCGAAGTGGAAAATCCGGTTAAATTAGATTTTACAAGCAACTGGAAAAATTATAATGGTATTTTGTTTGGTTGAAAAGCCATTCGTGGATTGACAGTTTGCTATTTTTCAAACATTTTGAGGTAAAACTGCGCAAATACTGATAGAGAGGAACACAGAAATCGAAACCGCTAATATTAAAAATGTGATTTTGACAGAAGATTCCCGGTTGTGGAGACAACAATTTGTAATCCTTGGAAGCCAATGTAAATTATTTAACTAGGTATAAATAATTAAACACTGATATTAAATTTGATTTTTCATTGTGAAATTCGTGAAACGAAGTGTTGCGTTATTGAAAACACATTACTCATTATTATAATAAAACGAAAGAACTCGAATTGTTTATATTATTGAAGTCTATTAAAGTTTTAAAATGAAAACCCTTTTTATCAAAATGAGATCGCAAGTGACTTTCGGCGTTAAAGTTTAATTGGGTTCATTTGACGTTCGGCTGATTAAGGTGCAGCAGACGAAATGTGATTGGATCAAATGAAGACCAATGTAATGCGCATTTGCAAGGTAACTTTATCAAAATTATTAAAGTTGATGGTAATAACAATCAAGTTTTGAGATGTTTTACTGACCATTTCTATATTTTACACTTGCTGCATTGTTAAATAAACGTGAGAACTTCTTTATAATTTCAGTTAAATTCAGACAAGTTTCTGATATTTATGAACCAGCCTACATTTTACAGTATCCATAAAAATCTGGTACAGGCAACTATATTTTTTCATCATTTAAATACAGCCACGATAACTGTCTATCATAATTATTCAGGGGAACAAAAATGATAATACATTTGTTTCCAAATATTCAGACTGAATTTAGAAATTACTATTTAAAATTTATGTATGAAATGTTTTCTCATTTTCAAAAATGTTAAAAAACGAACGTATTTTTGGAATGTCAAAATTCTGAGGTAATATCACTGAATGAAATAATAGATATCATTCTAGTGACAGAATATTATGTAAAGAGGGTAGCAGATAACAAAGAAATAGACCCATATTTCTATTTGGTGAAGTAAAAGTATCGAAGAAAATTAATCACTGTTTAAATATTCCAAGCTTTTTTAAACTCCACTCGACAACACACTTGACAGAATGATCAAAAAGTTATTGAACCGCTTTTCATATTCGAACCATTTTGTTTGTTTGTAGAACTGTCTATAAAGCAGGCACCAACAATGCAGATATCATTAGTTTTTCAACATATTATCCATAAATTGGAATTGACTTCATACCATTGATGCAATTTATCGAGAGAACTTCTGTTTTTTTTTTTTGCGTGTGTTCGTTTGTGTTTTTTCTCGTTGCGTAATCTTTGTATTGTCTATCGCATTTTCACGTATATGTGCAATGTGTTCTTACAAACATCATTATAGAGGAGAATCTCAGTTTCTTTTTTAGCTGAACTTTGATAAAATATTTTTCCACAGTATGTGCTTTCTGAGCAGATATCTTCGTTTAACAATTTGACGTACCAAACCCAGTTTCAGACACTATAGTACTAGTAGATTGTGTGTATAGTATTGTATTTTTACTAATTAGATATGACATAGAAATACTTTACGATGAGCTTGTTCTTGTGTATCAAAAATTCACATGCCAGTGAACTCACATGTGAAATGATTGCCACAATAGTGAAAGATGGCCCAACTCTACGTGTTCTTACCCGAGTACTATTAAACGTGCTTTAGCGGGATAACCCCGCTGTCTTCATTGTGGGTCAATGAACACACAATAGATTGTAATGTCAAAGGTTTGTGTATTGCAGAATTGTGCGACGAAATCAAATTTCTAACTCACGAAGAAGCTAAACAAGGGTCAAAATATAAATAATATGTCATCCACTTGCATAAAACGTTGCATGAAGGTAATCATATAGCAAATGAAATCGGGCAACAATCTTGGTATAGGCAAATAGCATACACTATTAACAATAAGTGGTTAAAAAGATTGTAAATACACAGTAACTATACCTATGTACTCACTACAACAACCCCGCTTTTTCGTGAATTATATATCTTTCATAATCTCTTTTATTGTATGTCAAGTGTGCTTTATGTTGCCTCTGATATTTTGTATTTTTGCGATATAATATTTTATTTGGATTTTCTTATAATGTGAGCTAGAGCCAGAATATTCTTATACTTTTTATATTTTGCTCGTTGGCTTGAAGTGACATTCATGTAGTATTTTCTATGCAACAATTATTTACGACCTACATATACTAGATGTCTTTGGCGTATTGATCAGCCTGGTTATCTTGCGTTTTAACAAGGTAATAAAGTGGTTGAACGTCTTCTTGATGTGTTCAATTCAGTGGTATAAGATTATCAAAGGCATTTTCGGCATCAAGCTTGAAACTTTCTTTACAGGACATTTTACGTCTTAGGCATGCCTTAGCTGCCCTATAAGTCACTTTGATATTGTAAATGCAAAATATAATGAGAAAATGATCGGAGATATCCAATAAAATGTAAGACGAACAATCATGATCTATTGTATATATGCATCTATGATAGATTATTTAATGAAGTGACTCTTGCGGGGTGAGTAATCATGGGTACAGCCAAGTGAGTTAAAAGCATGTCTATGTATTGATCAGTATGTATATCCTAAGCTAGTAGATTAATAATAAAATTGCCCATAAAATTCCGAAATGACTATTTTTGTTCTTTAATCTGTCATATGCCCACTGCTTCTGTGAAGTGAACAACATTACTGCGAGGATGTTTGTATACTCTTTCGACAATGATGCTTTTCTCATAATGATGACTTTCAGAAAAATGAAAATCTCCTAATAAACGGGCCAACAGCTTTCGTGGGAGAGGGGTTATGCAGGTCAACTTATTTTCGCTTATGGCTAATATATGGGTTGCAAGACGAAAGCAAATATTTTAAACAGTATCGGAATCTGCATAACTAAATTTGTTGGGTCAAATGGTCGAAAAAATAGTCAGAAATTTCCGATTAGTGTTGGTCAAGAAAGGGTTTTCTGTTGATTGGTGAATGTATTGGTAAATGATTCAGTATTATCCATAGTTGTCGTATTTTTTCTATAAATGGCATAATGATATTAAGCAGTTTCAACACTGGCCTTTGGGTGAGAAGGAATAAATTGGTTATTTTTATACTGGGATGGAATTACCCCAATGTTAATAAAACTCTTCTTTTAACGGGCCACATGGATGTAGACAAACTCAATGATGTCTCAGAAGAAATGTCTGACGAGTTGGAATTTTGAATCAAGGCATATAGAGGACAAATAGCCAGAATTAGAAGGTGGCAAACTTATGCAGGTAAGATGAAATTTAAGATAACATGATTTAAAAACGTATATATGAGTTATCATGGCATAATGAACAACAGTTATTGCATTTCATGAATATTTGTGATGGTTCAAGAAAAAGAATTAAAAAAAATCTGACATATTTGATTTTTTGAATATCTTCTTGGCCTAAAATTTCCAAAGTATCCGTCATTTTTATTCTGACTTTTCCATAGATATGCATACGCACATTCAAACCCTCGCTTAAAAAATTTTTGGACTGCGAGTCGGAAAACAATGACTACAGGAAATGTCACTTGGTTGGATATCTACTTTTGTTAGTTTAGAGATTTCGAGTACAAGTGTCCTCATTGGCTAGCTGTAATACTCCGTAAAAATTTTAGTTTTTCAATGCTGGTGCGCCTTTCCTGATCTTTCGCATGCTCAGTAACATACTAAAGATATTTCTCGGGATTTAGAGTCTGTATAGAATCCGTGTTTTGGGATCGCGATTGATCATCTATCATGTTCTCGCAATTCAGGAAAGATTGAGACGTCTTGGTAATTAGTCTTTGAGATTTTCACTAATTGATTACTATTTAATACCTGGTATTAGGGATATGAATTCTGATGTTGGAGATGGTAAAGTTTTCAGAAATACAATGAGTATAATGAATCTCGGAAGTTTAGTTCAATGTTTTATGTATCGTTTCTTGAATCGTTGGCCAGCATGGGAAAGTCACTGCCTAACTAATTAAGATCGGTGTAGCGAAAAAAATGACACTGTGGCAACAATTGAGGATAGTCCAGGTTATGGTGGACTTGTGTGAGATTTTTCGTGCAGATTTGTTTCTTCAGAGCTGTTCATTTTTGGATGTTAGACCATTATCTTAGTTATTTTTGATATATCTAGAACTTTAATCGAAATATGTCAACCACGCCAGTTAATTATTTGGACACTATCTATTATGACACTAATGCACAACTCTTTCACATACCAGGCCTAACGGATTTGGGCTCTAACTTAGAATCTTTCGTGCCGTGAATTCGAATGTAATTTTCGTGGAGCCGCTTAGGTTTTGTATTCTTTTCATCTGACTCATTCAATGTAGTTTTTCTTTTCAAATATTATTGCAAAAATAATTGCTAGAGCATGCGTCACGTGTTTGTCTATACAAGTCAGAAAAAACGAGCCACATTATAGCCCTCTTAAGGGATAAGCCTTTGTACAAAACATATCGGTATTCTGGCTTTGATTTTAATATGACACTGTATATTGCTGAAGTTTTATTAATATAACGTTCAATATAATTATTAAATGACAATTTATCGTAACGTTGATTCCAAAATTCCAGTGTGTCTTATGATGAGTGCTCATCTCTATTGGCGTCTGTTGCAGTTAATACAAATGGCCATAACCTGAAAAATTGAAAATTTTCAATGTCATTACCATTCCCACGAGAAGTTTGTATTTTAAGCAATATTCGTGATGAAACTTACGTTTGTTAGCGACACATTGTTTATGATAGTCAGGGCAACAGTTGTACATTTTCTTACACCTATAATGACATTGACATCCGTATCCAAAGTAGTCGCCCTTTTCTCCACAACGTTTATAGCAGGAATCTTCATGAATTATTTCTAAAGTGCAATAATATGATGTTATGAGAACGAACTTTTGCTTCGGTATCTGTTTGTAAACATCTGAGCGTCTTGGACATGACACCTGGGACAGAGGGCCTACAACCGCGAAATAGAAAACCTTGTACAAGCTTGTAAAGAGTCTGGTAGTCACTATGAGTTTAAATAAATTTTATTGTTGAAATTTTGAGCAGGTTTTTAGTTTTTAAACCGGTTCACAGATTGAAAAGCTCTGTCGACCTCTAGTGGATTATATTGAAATTTTAGGTACATGAGAAATGTAGTCGTCAACATACAGTGTGGGAATGAAAAATACACTTTTGTATGTGTAGCTTCAACAGTTTTTCTAAATTAACCAGCAATTCAATAAAAATGTAAATTTACTTTCGCATGTGGGAATAGGATATTGCCAAGTTCCATCTTTATTGCATCGGTTCTTGAAGTATTTTCCTGTTAATTTGTATCCCGCAGAGCAATAATAAATTACGTAGCTTCCGGCATTGTACCAGTCATAAGATGGCTTGACTCCTCCACCAACTAATTTGTGTCCACGACATTTTTTCTCTAATGCTGCATAAAAATAACATGCGTTTTAATGATTCACTCAGCAAAATGTCATAGGGCATTTATCCACAACATTGTGTAATGAGAGTCTTAACATTGGCCAATTCGAGAGCACGCAACAGCAAACCAACCGCTGATATTTACTCAATGAACATACCTTTGCAAGTTGGGACGTGGCTCCATTGCCCATTGGCCTTGCATTGACCTTCATCATCTCCATCCAGAACATAGCCATCAATGCAGAAATATTCAATATATTCTCTTGCCAAGTAGAAATCTTTTTCATCTTCAACTCCACCATTTTCGATCTCAGGTGTATAGCACTTTCGAACTAGGACATATATATATATATATATATGATCAAATAAAGAAACAACTCACGTATAGTAGAAGTTTGTGATAGAAATGGGGTATGGTGGTTTTTTATTAAGAACAATAATGAAAGTTAGGTATTACATATATCCACGTCCTTTAATACTTTGGAAGAACCCCATGAATAAAGCCAGTAGATATTATTACAACTGTATAATATATACCTATTAGTTTCATGAAATGATATATTATATTACTTCGAAATTTCACTTTTCTTACCGCAAATGGGAAACTCTGTATCCCAATTTCCGCCTTTCGAACATCTAGATTTTTTCTCTCCGACAAGGTGGTAGTGTTCTCTATCGCACTTGAAGTATATTACTTTTCCTTGATCGTAGTAATCAGCTTCAGGGCTATAGGTGACGTATGGCGCCAAATCTTCCACTTTGCATTGTTTTAAGCAATATACCGGTTTGTTGACCGCCCATTTCCCATTTGATTTGCACTTGTCTTTTGAGTTACCACTGAGACTATACCCGTCTCTGCAGCTGAACTCGATCACTTCATGTACGGAGTATCGTTTTCGGGATGGAGTCACTTTACCGTTTTCTGGTGCTTCCCTGCGAGGACATGTTACTGCAAAAAAAAAGTTAACAGTTTTGTTCGAGTTTTTAGAACTTGCAATAAACGATGAAGGTAGTTATTATGAATTATGTAAGAAGGTGTTTTAGCATTGAGGTTAAAAATTCAGATATTCAACCATTAGAATTCTCAATTCTTACTTTGACATGTAGGTGAAGGATAGTTCCATTTTCCACCTTTCTGACAGGTGAGTACCTCTTTTCCCTTAAGTTCGTAGTATTTTTCACATGTGAAAGTTGTTATTGCACCAACGGTATAGTAATCCTGAATGGGTTCAAACTCGCCTTTGGTTGGTTTAGATGGTTGCTTGCACAGTGCTGGTTAAACCAAATGTAAAAAGTTAACCTGCAGATCTGGCAGAAGTTAGGCTATTGGTTGTTTTTCGACAGTAATAGATCATGCAGAATTGCGTATAAGGCGAAAATAAATGTAACCAGGCTAATTATGTTTTAGTAGGCTACATTGATATTGTCAGAAATATGCCAACTGCTCGTACCAACTTGAAGTATCTCAAATTAAGGAAGCAAACGCACTCCCCCAAATGTAAGTAAACTAAAGTGGAAACGACGTATAGTAGTTTCAACAGGTAATTAACAGATTGAATTAGTATTTAGTTACTCACTCTTACTCACATCGATTTTAGGTTTCATTTCGAAATCAAGCAATTAAAGTAAATTTGAAATTGTTTAATTATCACTTACGAAGGCATTTTGGAGGAGGAGTGGGATGCCAACTTCCACTTTTCATGCATTGGTATTTTGCTTTGCCAACCATGTAAAATCCAACGTTGCATGAGTATATTATTTTGTCTGGAAACTTATATTTTGGTCTGGCCAATCCAAAAGAACCATAGCTGATTTTAGGTGGATTAGGACAATACTTGACACCTTAAAATAAAAAATAAGAACACTAGTGACTAGTGAGTGAGCACCACAATTAAGCATCTTTTTGTAAAAAAGCAATTAGTAGGAAGACCATTTTTGGTGATAACACATTTTATATCTCAAGCGTCAGTCATATTCTGATTGTTTCACGTAAACAACATGATTTATGGGAAAGATGGGAAGTGAAATAAATATTTTTGAAAAACTCACGTGGAAGACATTCTGGGGCCGGAAGGTCCCAATCGCCACTTGCGGTACATGTACGAACAGTGTATTTGGGGTTGCTCAAATAATAACCGTATTTGCATTCATAGGTAATGCTCTGTTTGTAGAAGTAATATTTTTGAACAGGTGAGTATGAACCCTTTGAAGGTTGTGGTGGTGGATAGCATTTGGTTCCTGTTAAGCAAAAAATGCAATAAGTATAAAACAACAGTCCAATCAACATGACTTGTACGCATATACGGCCATCGACTGAAAAAAATTGATATATATATAATGATTATTTTATCTACGGATGTATTTGTACATAGATGGCAAACCTTAGAGGGAGAATATAATAATTATTAATTGATTATGCTATTGTTTTTAAACGGAAAACCAGAGGTAGGAATATGATATATAATAAATAAAATTGTGTAAATACACTCACGTTCTACGCAATTTCCAAATTTGCGTGGGTCCCATCCGTAATAATTACACTCGTATGAATTTGATTCGGCAGTCCAATCATAACCGGGATCACAGTGGCATTTTACAACTGTTCCATATGGGATGAAACTCCTTGGTACGTAACCAACCATATCAGGTTCGCAATACCCATACTTGATATCTGGATTCCGACAACCTGCAAGCCGAAGTTTCGTGAATATAGAAAGCGCTTGATCACAAGATAAATATGAAAATGAAATGGTTCAAATTCGAATGAACTAATCGATATTAACTAATCCACCGCCTTAATTCTTCATAGTCTCGGTAGCGCATGGCACGTCTGTGGATGGCTGTAACCTTGCTCAGAGACCAGTATCTTTTACTTCTGAGTTATTGTACGTGACTTAGCTTTGAGCAAATTTTCTTATGTTAAATTGCCATTTTTTCAATAATAATTGTAGAGCTTTCGTACGGTGTACACTACCAATGAGTTTAATTGATTTCTAATTATTTGCTTATCGCTTTTAAGCTGGCAGCTTGCGTCTCTAATTCTAGGGGACTCACTCTTCTCGTGTGTAGGCCGACCCGATCCTGACTTGAACAAATATTCGTATGGAAATTAATCAGATAAAATAAAACGGCAAATGCCGTGTACTCACCACCGGCAGCAAGGGATACGCCGATAATTGCCAGAAATACGGCGATCGATAATTTACTCATTTTCTTGTATTCTTCCAAACCGTGTAAAGGTGAGAAGAAGATGTAAGGAAATGTGTCGTCAGTTGTAAATCCAGGGTATTTAAAGTTTTTTTGCCACCATTTTTTTCTTCTAAAATGTATCTGACATGGCCTGAAGTCAAAAATGATATCAGCAATTTTCATTTTTTTCGCTGATGTGTCATGCGTCAAGGTGACGTGATGTCTGTTCACAACTTTTTCGTTTCCATATTTCGAAACCAAATGTTGGCTGCCTGTTTAAACAAAAAAATCATTGAGTCATCATTTTATTGTGTTTGCTTACCAGTGAAAGCAACTGAAACATCTTACTATATTTGTCGTTTTGTATGCAATTGAGTAAGTGGTTCCTAACCTTGTCTATTTAGGAATTTTTTATACCCCCTATTCCTCAATATGCATAAAAAAAAACTCTGTTTCTAATATTTTTTCCATCTTTAGTAGGTCCGTAACTAGTGCTCCACACAATTTGCATTATGACTTTTGTGCAGTTCGAATAGTTGATAATTTATCGATGAACACGTCTTAGCATATTGTTAAATAACTAAACAATAATTGTGAAACCACGCTAAATACAATTTGTATTTCCTCCCAAGAACATCAAAATTCTTCCCGGGGAGGAATTCCTTCCTGGTTGGTAAACGTTGAACTAAATAAAATAAATGGTGGAATGTAATGACAAAACCGATATCCTTAGTATTCTTCTCTTCAAATGTCTATTTATTGTTGGATGATATTGGCCATTAATTTTAGAGTACATAAATAAAATAACAAGGTATCTGAATTATATTACAATCTATAATGCGCTTACAAAATTAATAGGGGAATGTAAAGTTCAACTGAGTCGCGATTTGAGGTTACAGTAATTTTGTGTTGCACTGAAGTGCACAATAATATTTTTCAAAGTGTAGCAATTGCGGATATTAACACCGAAAAATTAAAACCAGATGTGGCGATGTCTACATAGCTTATTTATTATAACTCCGTGATGTAACGCCATTTGCTGAAACAATCGATGGTTAGCTGAATCGCCCGAATTTGGTCTATGACACTATAGTCTATGTGGTAATCAGAATTGGCTATAAAAAACATGATTGTCTTGAAACTCAATTGCCTTCCATGACGAAATGGAGAGAGTTTCCCATCAGATTGAATAAAATTTGCGCATAACGCGTGATAGGATATAGTCCGTAGTCATTTCATACCCATGGTTTGGATAAGCTCACAGAGAGGCGCACCCTCTGAGCCACGAGACGTTAAACAATATGTAGATGGAAAAATTAGCGAATGTGGGGCAATAAATGATCTACTCCCACAAAAAATCTAGCGTTTTATTAAATTTAGGCACGGATACGAAATGATGTTTGGAAAAAAGTTCGAATCAAATTCGGCTATACTAAATTTTATGCATCTTTAAAAATGGTTTCTCTGAAAACCGAAGTGGAAAATCCAGATAAACTAGATTTTACAAGCAACTGAAAAAATCATAATAGGATTTTGTTTGGTTGAAAAACCATTCGTGGATTGGCAGTTTGCTATTTTTCGAACATTCCAAAGTAAAATTGTTGTGCGCAAATACTGATTGAGCGGAACACAGAAATCAAAACTGCTAATAATAAAAATGTGAATAAGATAGGTATAAATAAACACATACTCAGAATATAATTTGATTTTTAATTGCGAAATTCTTGAAACGTAGTTTTGCGTTATTGAAAACTCATCACTTATTATTATAATAAAACGGAAAACTCGAAGGTTTATATTATTGAATTCTATTGTAAATTTAAAACGAAAGCCCTATTTATCATAATGAGTTCGCATGTGCCTCTCGGCGCTAAATTTTAATTGAGTACATCTGACGTTCGGACGATTAAGGTGCAGTAGATGAAATGTGATTAATTAAATTAACTGAAATGTCAATGTAATGCGCAATTGCAAGGTAACTTTATACAACTTAGTAAAGTTGGTTGTAATACCAATTAAGTTGAGATGTTTTTATGATCCCTCTTATATTTTATATTTTACACTTGCAGCTTTGTTAAATAAACGCATGAACTTCTTTAGAATTCCAGTTAAATTCAGTCAACCTCCTGATATTTATAAAATAGCCTACATTTTATTGCATCAATAAAAATCTGTTACGTACAGGTAAATTAAATTTTTCTTCATTAACTAATAATAATAATTTAGATAGAATGATTCGAATTACTAAGTAAATCAAATACAGCCATGAGCAATGCCAAAGTATATGTCAGGGATGGCCAACCATTGACCCGCGGGTCAGAAAGTGACCCATCGCGTGTTTTCGGTGACTCGCCGACGCACAAATGAAATAAAAACATACTAACATATAAGTGATAAAAATTGATATGACCGGCTCTAATTGAATTTAAGATTAAGTAAACTAACATAATGTACAGCCAGTCAGGCCTGCAGACGCTCAAATTCAAAATTTTCATTTTTTGGATTGGTATGGTAATTTCCGAAAATCTCAAACTCGGATGCACGTGTTCATCATTGTATACCGTTATGCACTTATGGCTGAGACATCGTTAATGACAAAACAATACAATTGATTTTTTTTCACTACATCTGGTTAAAGTGTTCCCTATCGGAAGGACATGAACCAAAAGGCAGCACTTTGGACTGCTTTGGGTATACGAAAGCTAGATGCTACTTTGAATTTATTAGTTTCTCGCCTACAATGCCGTTGAGAAAACAAAATCTTCTAGACTTGAAGTAAAGAAATCTGAAATAAAAATAGGGCAGGTTGAAAGTGTCCTAGTGTAGTTGGAAGCTGATCGAAAAACATAATTCTATCAGAGTGGAATTGCCTCCAAACTCTTTAGTAATTTGCCGCATCATCCTGAAAGTTTTTGGGTAATTTATATGGATATTTTGTACACGGGTTTCATGAAATCGAGTGTCATGAAGAGTCTAGTAGTTACTGATAGAAGTGCTTCGTGAATAAAGCCCAAAACCACACACAACACCAACTGAAGCTTATGAGATTTGCAAGATTAGATGCAGCAGCAAGTTTTTTATATATACCAATCATTGATTACATATCTGTGACTGTGACCCCCACTCTTCTGTTCCGTGATAAAATCCAATTTTTGACCCATTCTTTAAAAAAGATTCGCCATCCCTGGTATATGTTAATATATTTGGGGATGTTATACTCAAACTCTACCCAAGGGCCAGTGGTGGCATAATTTCAAAATCCGTTTAAATAAACTTGATCAGATTTTAAAAAAAATGGCTTAGGATTTTGCAGGGAATCGGCCTTGCCAATAAACTTGAAGTATATATAAGTAATTACATGAATCGACTTATCCTTAGAACTGAGGTTCAGAGCACAATAATGTTATTCATTGCAAGATCAAAGAGGTCGTAATTTTGGTATTGCTAACCTCCGCCAATTTGAAGAAATAATATTGAAAAATAACTTCATGCACCTCAAATTTCTCTAAAAACTTTTTTAATCAGTAACCATTGCAAATTAAAGATGTAACTCCCTTTCTATTCACTTGTAACAAATACCTTTAGGTTTATTAGGCCTTAAGTTTTTTAACAAGAATTGTAATGTCAGAACTTTGCACTGTTTATTCCAAGATTAAAAATGAGCATCTTGCGAAGATATCGTTAAATTGCTAAATAATGCGATGTACAATAATCACATTATGTACATTACAGAATGAAACAAAAAAAAACATGATTGTCTGGATTCTTTATGCTAAAAATTCAATTGCCTTCCATAAAGGAATAGAGAAAGTTTCTCAACGAATTTGTTAAAATTTGCGCATAACGCGTTATAGGATATGGTCCGTAGTCATTTCATATCCATGGTTTGAATAGGCTCACAGAGAGGCTCATCCTCTAAGCCAGGTGACGTAAAACGATGTGTAGGTAAAATAAATCAGAAAATGTGAGGCAATATATGATCTAGACTAGTTTCAGTAATTTTAGGCACTGATACGAAATGATGTTTGGAAAAAAGTTCGAATCAAATTCGGCTATAGTAAATTTTATGCATCTTTAAAAATGGTTCTTTGAACACCGAAGTGAAAAATCCAGATAAACTAGATTTTACAAGCAACTGAAAAAATCATAATAGGATTTTGTTTGGTTGAAAAACCATTCGTTGATTGACAGTTTGCTATTTTTCAAACCTCTAAGTAAAACTGTTGTGCGCAAATACTGATTAAGCGGAACACAGAAATCGAAACCGCTAATAATAAAAAATGTGGTTTTGACAGAAGATTCCCGGTTGTGGAAACAACAAATTGTAATCCTCGGAAGCCAATATAAATTAATGATATACGTATCAATATTTACAGACTGAGAATAAAATTAGATTTTTGATTGCGAAATTCTTGAAACGAAGTCTTGCGTTATTGAAAACTCATCAATCATTATTATAACAAAACGAAAGAACTCGAATTGTTTATATTATGGAATTGTATTGAAGTTTCAAAACAAAAGCCCTATTTATCAAAATGAGTTCGCATGTGCCTCTCGGTGTTTAAGTTTAACTGGGTACATTTGACGTTGGGCCGATTAAGGTGCAGTAGATGAAATGTGATTAAATTAAATGAAAGGTCAATGTAATGCGAAATTACAAGGTAACTTTATACGACTTGGTGAAGTTGGTAGTAGTAACAATTAAATTGAGATGTTTTTATAATCACTTCTATATTTTATATTTTACACTTGCTGCTTTGGTAAAGAAACGCAAGAACTTCTTTAGAATTCCAGTTAAATTTAGTCAACTTTATGATATTTATAAAATAGCCTGTATTCTACGGCATTCATAAATCGTACAGGCATATTTATGTTTTCGTCATTAAAACTAAAAATAATAGTTTAGATAGAATGATTCCAATTACTAAGTAAATCAAATACAGCCACGAGCAATGCCAAAGTATATGTTAATATATTTAGGGATGTTATTGTTTTTTAAACTAATCGGTATCACGGAAAATGAGTTTCATTTTGACAGTATTCATACATAATAGGAGAAGTATATCAATCAGCTGGATTTAGTTTCTATGTTGCCAAGTCCTGCAAAACATATGATACTTTTATACTAAAATTGTTTTTCTCAAATGGATTGATTTTGTGTAGACATTAAACATTAGGGACATTAGACATTTTGTTAA